TAGACTTTTCGATTTGTTGTACTTTTTCGCATACTTTTTGAAGAATGCTTTGTTGTGGCAAAAGTATTCTTGATATCTGATTCATCTTTACCACATCGTACTTCCAAAAAGTACCAATGCCAATCAATATTGCTAAATATGAATGAGCAATATTGATATAAATATACATATAAACATACCTATTACAAAAATAATACCAAAACCGTGCGCGTCTAAAAACCGCAATGTTTACCTTTATTCATTTTTTTTACTATCAAAATGAAAATATTATTAAAACACCACTCAGATTTTCCCATGACTGCTGTCTGTTTCCTACAAATTTGAATCAGATTAAGTACCCAGTTGATCGACTTCAACGCTGCCGTCTGTTTAGGCTATTTTAATATATGTAATACATCATTTATTCTACATATAGCCATTGTTAAGAAATCTCACAATAAATTTTGCAAAATGTTGATTTTACTTGCACGATTCCTGAATATCTTAATTTCCTAACTCACTCACTGCCTCTCAAACTTCTTTGAAAACAATCGTACCGGACAAATGAAATGGTTTGAAACTTCCTTTATGGCTTGAAGATGCGTTAGACTTTTCTTCTTTTCCCCAAGAAATTCATAACCTTTTATACAAACATATGTAAGTGCATGTGTCCAAAAATATATAATGTGTGTATAAATTCAAACATTAGGGCAATTTTCTTAAACTAGGAAATTATTGCTATGCCAAATTACCCAAAATTATTAGCCAAAGCATGAGATTGTGGCGAATTCACTACAAACAAGACATGGTTGCTTTTTTCTTGTTGCAATATGTGGGAAATATAATAAATATACGTGAGTTTAGTTATAGAATATTTTGCATACAAAAGCATTCTTGTGCAATTGCTTGGTTATTGAATCATGGCAGAGATAGGAAAAACGTGCAATGCGTGGACCAATGCAAGCATTTACTATATTGAGAGAATACACCTCTTACGTAAATACTTAGATAAGTATAAATTTTTGTACATATGCACACATGTAGATTACATATATACATATACATATATTTGGAAATATGTATGTAATAGACATTTGAAAATTCGTATTTCTTCTTCGCTCCGACACAAGGTATTGGCACCGAAGCCATTTTCCTTAAACTTTTCATTAGTACAATTACAGTGGTTACAGAAAAATGAAATGTGTGGTAAAAATTATAGATGTGTAAACAAATCAGAAAATATGCATATGCCCTTGTATGTGTGTGCATTAGATATTGCTATTTGCTTTATTACAAAATCTGAAAAGATCCACGCAATCCTCACAAGATTTCTTTCCAAAACAACTAAAAGTCAATCACGAAATCTCCTACTACTACTACTTCGATTTTTAAGGTTATGTATCCAAGTTTCTTCCTCTTCATATCTAAACATGTAAATATACATATGACAATAACTAAATCTATTCGTAAATAAAATTTAATAATTTTCATAAATATTTATCCCCCACCGTACCACAGCACAGCACAACACATGCAGATATACATACAGGTGTACATACTTACGTAAATACATATGTACATATATCATCATTCTCCAGCAAACTGTTTACACAAAATAAGGTCAATGTATGGGATTTTAGAGTCGTTTATTTCGGTTGATGTGAAGCTTTTTTTTTTTTTAAAGCAACAATAAAAAAAAAAAAGAAACCATTTCGATAAATATAAGTACCAGCACTAGTGGGTAACAATTTTCCGTTTATTGTTATTACTGTTTTTTTTATTTTCATAAACTTTCACATTTTGTTATTTTTTCATATTTGTCACTAGTCAACCGAGTAAATGATACGAAGAGTATGAAAGAAAGAAAGGTAAACAAATGAATTTATTCCAAGAGGAAAGCCCTACGTAGGAGTATGTTTGTATGTAGATATGAATATTTACTTAAATACGTAGCTTTTATGTAAACAATTTACGCGCAGTTTAGATTAGATAGGAGTAATAAATATGAATTCTCGAAAAATACGCACTTGAGCGTACGTTTAGGCAGGCATAAATTGTGAAACGTGATTTTTAACTACAGAAAACCTCTCGAAAACCAAAAAGGCAAACTCCTAGCATAGCAACACATTTTGAAAATACTGTCCTTCGTCAAAGAGCTAAAAAAAAAAATCGATAGATAAAATTATGTTTTTGATTTAGCTAAGATGAGAAATTACTACGAAGAGCTGTAAGTAAATAACCAAATTTTATACTCTTTTATCAACTTTTAAGGAAATCCTGTCAAAATAATTTATAGATAAATTTCATGTCTTTATGGGATTGTTGTTTACCAAAAGCTGCGACGTATGCAGGGAATATTTATGAACAAGATGATCGAGTCAATTAAGTTCGGTCATGTGCTTGTTTAAGCAAACAATGAAACTTTTGCACAAAACTTCTACGAATACGCAAAAGTAGGTTAAGTGCGGCATATCAAAATTAATTGTTTCGCCAATCAGGCACTGTAATCATTAACGAATAAAAACTTTTATTTTGCAAAAAAAAAAAAAAAAATCTTGGTATAATTTAATTTAAACATTTTATGCGAATGTTTTTTTTTTTAACAAACCGACCGACAGACTGGTCTAATGGGCAATAGTAAAATAATAGTAATCCATTATTTCTGCAATAGATGTAATGATCTGTATTTCGCTTTAGAAATATAATATTGTGCACTAAAAAAGATAACGGGAGAATAACGGGAGCGCATTTCAAGGAGGGACCGCAGCAAAGAGGTACAAGAAGATCAAAAGAAATATAGCACTGTGGGATTGGAGTGAGCACACATCGGCAGTAACTCATCAGAAGCTTCGGAAGCTCAGTAGGGCGGATCTTATGCATCCAACTAATAGTGCGGACTTTATGGTCTCCAGAGAAGCCTGTGAAAATCGATTCTGCCTATTTTTTTAACAACTGGCACAAGGGTTTCTCTGAGAGAGGCCAAGAAGTTATCGAGCAAAAGAGTGCTTACTTGACATAAATCGGACAATCGATCAACTATGGTTAATAAAGTCTTCAATTTAATGCAAAAGTAGTGGATTTATGTATGTAATTGCAATGCTAAACACTTATGTATATAATATATTATATAATTAATTAATTATATAATTGCTAATTAATTAATTATGTAATTATAAAATTTATTTGTAAATTACAATAACCTAATTCAGGCTATAATATGTATACTAAAATGAACACATACGTACATAATTACATTATATACATATGTACATACATATATGTATGTGTGGAATGTTCAATTGACTACCTACGTAAGGACTCTTTTAACATAAAACTGTGAAAGTTTTAGAATGCAGAATACTTTGCAACGTTCATACGAAAATGCAAGTATTTCGATTACTCGCCATTACCTGTTTGAATGTAAAATACTACATTTAAAATACTTTGTGTTAATCATTAAAATTTTCCAAAAATGAAAATATTATAAATAACTCAATCAAATGCTAAAATATCTTTTTGCAAACTGAAATAGAGACGACCCCTGTCTGACACTGCATTCTAAACATTAATATGTGCATACCTACACACATGCATAGATATCTACTATTCTAGCAGACGGCATGTAACGTATGAATCAGTGAAATTTCATTGTTTAATTCTATCTTTGCCTTGCACTTGTGTACATTTCTATTTTTGTTGCTGTTTTGCACTACACGCGAATACATACATACATACTATATCAAAGCAATCATTTCAGCGCTGTTCTATTTGTCTATATGTAGCTACCAAATAATTAATTACTGAAAAATATTAATTAAAAATTGTTTAACTTCTTAAAGAATAAAAGAATATGCAATTTAACTAGATAATTCCACTTTTAAAAAAAGTTTGCTGCAAGACTGATTAATGGTTAATGGAACATATGCACACCGAAAATGTTTTCAAATATTATATGTAACTATTTATTATGTACGTACATATATTTTAAGTGAAGAATGCATTTGAATGACCAAATGATTGGCGGTGTCGGTAGAAAGGCACATAAACACAAATATTACCGTCACCTTTCGAGTCGTATGACCTACCAAATGAGGGTTATTGTTCTTGCAGGGTGAAATCACTCTTGTATTTACATACATACATACGCATATTATTCTTACCCTAGAGAAAAAAAGCGATACTGAAAACAACGCCAGAATTTTGTAAATATGTATGAAAACCAAAAACTGCTGATGAATAGTTGTTGTACCAATACACATTGTACCTATTATCAAACAAAAGTTTTTAACACAACACACAGGGTTTGGAATCAATTACACTGTGCGTACATCAACTCTCTCCAAATAGTTTATATGCACTCACATTAAAAAAATTCAGATATTTAGAAAATAAATATACGAAATTCTGTTAGAAGAGCTCAAATATGTTATGTAGCATTTTTAATGGTGGGCACATGTTTTCCACAATACTGTGCACCCATACATAGATACTAATACAACTTGTTAGTGGGGGTGCTAACACTGAGAGTTGTACTGACTCGACTGACTGTCTAAAATGATTGCCATGCAATAAGGTTGTACAACACATGCAACATACGCAAGCAGTTTATACATATATACGTACATGTATGTGTGTTTGCTCAAGCCAACGAAACGAAAACAACAGAAAACATATGATTTATACATATTTATGTATGTATATACATGAACTATATATGTACATACTCGAAAATTTGTATATAGGCACATATGTTTAGCGTGGTGCACGATTGCAGTTGCAGTCAATCACGTATAAATGTGCGAGGGAGACAACAACGAAAACAATGAAAAGTGCATGTAAATAGGGAAACGGTGGAGTGTGAACCGATAGAAAAGTAATCAAGATACATATTTACATGTGCATACACGTATGTACGTTTCTCATATTCTTTTGGATAGGAAAGCCAAAATGGAAAATGAAAAACTGAACTTGGCTAGGTATGTAAATACTTATTTAGAAAACAAAATGAAGGTATAACTTACCCTGTCGGTTAATAAGTGCTTTCTGCAAAAATTGAAATCAACAGCAAACTTTTTCCATTGGTTAATATCCGTACTTTGATATAATTTATCCTTTGAAATTGTGGAGAATTCAAGTGTTTACCAAAAGATTTATATTAAATGAACGGTGTGGTGTCCATCAGCCGTCTTTTTATATATTCATACATAGGTATATTTATGTATATATGTATGTTATATCTTGTTACACCAGTTTTTTTTCTTTTAATAACCAAACTACAAGTCCCTCGACGATTTCTAAGCACAGATATAAATCAAATTTGGTTTATTTCTATGTTTCGTTTTATTTTATTCACTTCTTTTACAGCTCCTTTGGTTCTACAATTTTACACGTTGCTTGGAATAGTTCGCGTTGTCCGTTCAAGAGTATTGCGTATGTTTGCTTTTTGGGTTCGAAACTTGTGTGCGCATGTGTGTGTTCTTTATTTATACTTCCTTTTTGTGTTTTGCTCTTCTTATATGTTTTACTTCTTTACACTTGTTCTATTTCATCTTTATATGTATTCAAACTTTTTCTAATGGCTACTTCGTAACTCTTTATACCTGTTTTTCAATATAGCTCACGAAGATTTCATTTCACCGATTAATACAAAATATACTTTATCGAAGGTAAATGTAACAAAATCCGATATTAATTCATAATTACAAAATTTTCTTTTGCTGTTTTTGTATCTTTCAAGTACACTAATTCTTTGTTCTAATCATACGATTACAGTTCTGCTTTTCTAGTACATACATATATATTTATATGTGTATATTTATTTTAATCGTAAAGAAACTGTCCAGCTGCGATTATGTACATATATATTTTAACTATTACTCAATCACAGAATATATACTTTAGTTTTTTTCCTTATTACAAATGTATTTAGCGTTTACTTTTCTTAATATAAATTAAAAATTAGAGCGTATAAAAAATTTCTAGCACAATGCACAACAACGCACTTTTCGACTTGTTTCGACTTCCAATGTGTAATGAGAGAAGAAAGCTCGGCTGACAGAATTGAGGGTGCAAAATATTCCAGGCACCTAATTATCAGGGTTGTATTTGTATTTTTGATTCTACTACTTTGTGCATTCGGCGTTCATTTTTACAATTGTTATCGAAAATTGTACTTGAGAACGCTTGAACGCTTCACACGACTTCACAATAAAACTGCCTCTCAGATTTTTTCACATATCAGTATGTGTTATTTTCGCTTCAAAGCTTCAGCAACTTTTCTGCAAATATTTTCTACGTATTACAAAATTAGTAAAAGAGTTTATTTAATGCCTTGTTATCAATCAGTGTCTTTGACTTTGTTATTTCTGTTCCATTTGATAAGTAGTGAAAATGATTTATTGGACCCGTTAAGAAAAATTTAATTATGAGCAGAATGTAAAAGATTTATTTCTCGCAATTTCTAAATTTTGAAAATCGATAGTTTTTCAATGGGTGTTAAGTGAAATAGGGTCAAAACGAAACACAACTAACTTCGTTGTCTGGTTGATGTAAAAGATTTTTCATGTGTTTTCTTCGCCCTTCATTCGTTCAATAAGTTTGCAAAAGTTTTCGTCTACTTTTCAATTAATATAAAAAATGGCTTAAATTTTTATTATAAAAATTTACATCGTTCTACACAAAGAATATTTATTATTATAAAAAGTCTGAATCGAGTGACGAGTGAGGAATATTTGCCAACGTGTCTCGCCCAGGTGTAAAGTTGAAAAGTGAGTGTACACTGATAAGCTACAATATAAAGAAAATTGCTAGAGCGTCATATTTGCAAATTGAATTTTACAAATGTATATTATACCATATAAAATAATAATATAATAAATAATATATCATTGCATTCTATAGCAAAAGCAGTAATAATTTATAAAATATGGAATTCCAACAACCACCACCACCACTTTCACAACCCGATATCTCACAACCGCCACCACAATTAACAGCGCCATCTGCTCTTGCAACAAACGCCACACTACTACCTTCGCAGTCAGGCGGTGGGAACCCATACGGTTCGCACCATCGCAACCATTACCATCCACATCATGGAGGCACCGGCAAACCTGGACACCCGTATTTCAAACCATTCAATCCTGGAGGATTTCAGAGACCATTCGGTATGACGCAAGACGATTTTGATGGCAAGCGTCTAAGAAAGAGTGTTATGAGAAAAACAGTTGATTATAATGCATCAATCGTAAAAGCGTTAGAGGTAAATTGAATGAAATATAACTCGTTAGCACAGCTTAGTTTATTCATAATATATTTCCATTTGTTGCAGACACGACTTTGGACACGTGATCATAGAGATCGGCATGCCACACAACCTGAAAGCATATATGTGCCTGAACTTTTACCACCGTCCAGCTATTTGGACAATCCCTCCAACGCTGTAACGACACGTTTTGTTAAAACTGCCACCAATAAAATGCGGTGTCCGATTTTCACACTTGCTTGGACTCCCGAAGGCAGACGGTTGGTTACCGGCGCCAGCTCCGGTGAATTTACACTATGGAATGGGTTGACCTTCAACTTTGAAACCATATTACAGGTAAGTACAAAATCAAATAAAAATTTGTTTATGCTAAATCTATTATACCAATTTCGTACAAAATATGCATAAATATATATTTAGAAAAACATTTTTCAAAAATAAAAAAGAAAATTAGATTATTTTAAAATTTTGTTTAACACAATTTGTTTGCATTTTATTTTGTTACATCTTCGCAATTACAATTTCCTGCCCTTATCCACACCACTGATATTGACGTTTCGACAAATGGCTTCCTAAAATAGGCCCACGATGTTCCTGTTCGTACTATGGTATGGTCTCACAATGACAGCTGGATGGTGACTGGCGACCACTCGGGATACGTCAAGTATTGGCAATCGAATATGAACAACGTGAAAATGTTTCAGGCACACAAGGAAGCGATTAGGGGAATAAGGTATAGCTTACTAATTCCACTTATTTTATACTTTTTATTTCTCTTACATAAAACTACTTTTATTATCAACTTCAACACAGCCACAACTTCTTTATTTGTTAGCGTGTATAGTTTTTCAACTACTAGATCTTATACTGCAGAAAATATCTTTAAAAAATAGTCGTTTCCTTAACACATTTGAATTTTTAGTGCAAATTCTCTAATTCAGTTGAGTAACACTTGCGGTAATCAATATTTATTTAAATTGATGTAAAAAAGAGTAGGTTTAACGAATTGAGTGAAATAATAAATAAAATCAACTTTTCATTCGACGGATTCGTCCGTATGCTGGCATTGTGAAGAGTCTGTGTTATATTTTAATATATATATATATATATATATTTTTTTTTTTTACCTATAGTATAAGTAGAGGCTAAAATTCATTTGAATAATTATTGTTGTTTTTACTGTTGATAATAATATAACAAATAAAATTGTTGGTACAAATTAAGTGTGGATACGTATGTGTGTGTGATACTTGTGTTTATATACAATATTTATTTTTGTTTTACTATTTTTTTTATTGATAAATAAAAAGCTTAAAATTTTAAAAATAAATTCTAGTTGGTACCGAACATTACTAGACTCAAAGATTGCCCAAGTGACTTAGAAGAGCGGCCCTATTGTATTTACTCTCTAAATCTAATCAAATTTTATTACGTAGAAACTAAAGTGGGCAAACTGACTTTCTAGAGTTAAAATGGAGCCAACACAATTTAAGTTCTGAAAGAAGTTATTTAAATTAATTTAAAAAAAAAAAAAACACTTAAAACAAATAGACTATTGAAAGTTGCTGTATATATTTTACCTGACCATTAGTTTGTTTATTTCTTTTGTTTATGAATGCGTGTGTAAGTGTGTCTACGTAAAGGTGTCTTCTTATTAGATATATATATATATATATATATAAATATATATATACGAATATTTCGTTATAGCTAGGTATTTGTTAGTAAGAAAAAGGCCAATTTTATGAAAATAAATAAACTTAAAAAATAGAATCGACTTCGTGCCTTACTAACGTTGTTTTCTTAATCTCATTTAAATGATTTTGTTAAAGTATTTAACCAATTACAAAAAATGTACAAGCAAGTTACCATTGTTATCATAAAAAAAAATTTTGAAATAAAGCATTAAAGACTGATTTTTTTTTTATCAAACCATTCTTGAGATACGAATAAAGCAAGCAAATTGAGAAAAACTATTAACAGTTGATTTTTTAATTGAAAAAGCAATTAATTTGGAATTTTCGATATTTCTGCTGCGTTTTTCTACTCGTTCGCTATTTGCGACAGCCGATTTGGTTCGTTAAAAAATAAATTTTTAGAGCATATGTATATCTCACGGTACACTCCACAGTTCTCCACCTCGATGAGATGTGCACACATTCGTTTAATGTCTGCGTAAACTTTGTGAAATCAAATGAATGTGCTCAAGAAACATGGATAGACAGACAAGACAAGTAGTGATTGCTTGTTGGCCTCAGTTAATAAATAATTCGTTAATTGAAGTATTTCGTTTTTGTTTCTCATAATTTAATGCCTTTGCATTGATATCTAGTTTCTCTCCGCAAGTGAAATCCGGATAATATTAATGAAATAAATAATAAAAATATTTCACAAGAGTTTTACTTTTTATTCTGAATATGGGTTGGGAGCTTTTATGTTCATGAAAACCTAATAAAAACTTTTTTGCTGAAAAACTCAATCGGACTTTTTATTGCAATTGACAAAAGGCTTTTAGGTATATTTTACACTAAAAATTTTATGTACTAAAATTAATTTCCTAAAAATCAGTATATAGTTTCAATACATATGTATGTATTTACGTATAGATTTATAGTTACATATTTATATTTAACTAAATATAATTTTAAAGTGGCTTGAGGAATTGTAAGGACATGGAAACACGACTGAGGGCAGCAGCGAAAATAAGCAATATTATTACAATGCCAGTGGATTGCAAGCTTCACACATATATACCTACAAATATATTGATATATAAATTTATAACGTTCGAAAATACATATTTAGAGTTTTATATTGTGCAGAGCTGACTAAAAAATTTTCACTGCAGTCCAGATGCGTTTGACCTGCTTACTCACATATACGCAGATGAGAACTCTGTTAATGATCTGTTTTTAAATTATATCCGCTTCGTAATCTGCAGTACTGTTATTGTAATTCTTAGTGTCGAAAACTATTTAATAGATATTTCAACACGCCATTCCTTCGATTGATTACCTGTTTGCCTATAGTTATGCTTATCAGATTAATCTCAACTAGTCATAATCATAGTATATGTTTATATATTTAAAAAAAAAAAAAAAATTGTAATATATTTTGAAAATAAATTTTTACTCTTTTTTTTGAAATTTTTTTTCACGGTGCGAAATGCATTTTGAATAAATAAAAAATGCACAAAACGTTTTGCTTCATAAAAACAACAACATACATTGACACCCAAATGCCTTCCCGATAACAACAAAACTCGCCTTACAACATGTTTTTTTTTTTTGCTACGACTTCCAGCTTCAGTCCGACGGACAGCAAATTTGTGAGCTGCAGCGACGATGGCACACTGCGAATATGGGATTTCCTACGTTGTCAGGAGGAGCGCGTATTAAGAGGTAAATAAGTATGCATATGTAACAGCGTTCGAGGGAACGGGATCATAAAAAATGTTCATTCCAACCTCAAAACTCTAAATAAAATAAAATATCAATGAATTTAGAGTACTTAGGGTTGAAAAAAGCTTTTAAATGAGATGAAAATTAGCACTACCGATTAATTGACCGTGATGATAAGTTGGAATTTTCGCAATTCCAATGACTAATATATTTTTATATTAAAAAAAACTAAATTAAATTAAAGCAATAGAAAACTAATTAAACAAAATAAAATTAAAATAGTAACAATAAAAGTAAACAATAATGTTTAACATATTGAGGGAATTACAAATGAAGTTAGCTTTCAAATTTTAATACATTAAATTAATTTGAATTAAAGTTAATGCCTACTAAGTAAAAAAAATTGAAGAAAACGTTCAGGAAAAAAGTCAAAATTTGCGGATATTTATTTATTGTTTTATTTATTATATGAAAATTAATGAGAAATTTATAAAAACAATTAGTTGATGGGGCGGATAGAATTTAATTAAAATAAGTAGTTTATTCCCATTTAAAATGGTTCGCAGTTGCTGGCAAAATAATATTCGATTTTTTTTTACCGTGAGCCGTTTAAAGCAGCAAAATGGGGGATTTGAAAATCAAATAAAATTTTTCATTGTTGTAAAACAATAATAACAGTAAATGAAAATGAAAATCTCACAAGGATTAGGCTTTTTAGATATTCACCGTTAATTGTTGTTGCATTACTTTAATTTCCAATTTCTAGGTCACGGTGCCGATGTCAAATGCGTGCATTGGCATCCACAAAAAGGTTTGATTGTTTCCGGCAGTAAGGATAACCAGCAACCCATAAAGTTGTGGGATCCCAAGAGTGGTAGCGCGCTGGCGACACTGTAAGTCAAGCAAGTTTCTACTATAATGACTTTTTGTTTAAAACATTTTTACCGTCAAATAGGCATGCGCACAAGTCCACAGTAATGGATTTGAAATGGAATGATAACGGTAACTGGCTAGTCACTGCATCACGAGACCATTTGCTCAAACTATTCGATTTGCGTAATCTTCGCGAAGAGATGCAAGTTTTTCGTGGCCACAAAAAAGAGGCCAGCTCTGTGTCATGGCATCCCATACATGAGGGTCTCTTCTGCTCAGGCGGTTCCGATGGCTCTATACTCTTCTGGAATGTCGGGTGAGTTGAGCGTGTGTTAAAGGTTGTATTAGTCTTCATTAAAAAATATTCTATTTCTTATTCTAGCACTGACAAGGAAATTGGTTGTGTTGAGACGGCGCACGACAGTATTGTCTGGACATTGGCCTGGCATCCGTTGGGTCATATATTATGCTCAGGTTCAAACGATCACACAATAAAATTCTGGACACGTAATCGACCTGGGGATTTGATGCGAGATAAGTATAACTTGAACACATTGCCGGCAAGTTTGGCTGCATTGGACGATTGTGAATACGGTGAGTGTAAATATTAGGTTTACTTTGTTGATAATTCTATAATCCAACTTTTAGATGACGCTGTCATTCCCGGCATGGGTCCTGAGGACAAAGTTGAATTCACCGAAAGTCTCACTGCCGATAAGGGCTTCATTCCCGGCCTCGATTTGGATCCATCTAGGGCAGGTGATCGGGATCGTGAAAAGAAAGTTCCCTATAGTAAACCCATACCGCGTAACTTCCAGGCACAATGGGCCGGCTCTCGTCGACCTGATGACGCCAACTTTCATGACGAATTAGCAATGCGTGAACCCAAAGATACTAGTGGTCTATCACACCAACAGATCAGTGAGAGCACCATTGAGGGCATGCTGGCTAGTGGTGTGCTGACCACTATGGATCCTCAGGCTGTTATTGGCTTACTAGTTTACAATCGGTTTATAAGGGTGCATCCCGACTCTCGCGTAATGGTTGCTATACGGCAAGGTCCAGACTACTTGAACAAATATATTGATGCTGGGAAGTTGGATGAGTTGCGTGATGTTGTACCGATTCGCGATCGGTCCCGCTCGATGTCACCCACACTAGAGGGTCGTGAGAGCTCACCACCAACAAAGCGTTCGCGCTTTGAAACACGTCAACATAGCGCTCAACTTGTATGCGTACGCGAGCTGCTGAGTTTGAAAAAGCCATTTTTCCCTTGCTTGCTGCAAATGAAGGCGGCACAGGCAGCGCCAAAGTCCGAGTTTGGGGATGATGTGCGCAATTCACCACAACAGCCACAGCAGCAGCAGCAGCAACAGCAACAAAACTTTCAACAGCAGAATTATCAGCAGCAACAACAGCAGTCGCCAATGCAACAACAACAGGGCCGGCCCAGTCCATGGGCCGTGGGTCCACCCTTCCAGCAGCAGCAACAGCCGCCCAACCCCTGGAACTCATCGCCCATGGGCAGTGGTCCAAATGGCGGTCCCAATATGGTGCCGCCACCAAATCAAAACGGTTACAATGGCAACAATGGACCTTACAACGGTCCAGGTTTTAATGATAATATGAATTATGGTGACAATAATATGTACTCGAAAGGTAGTGGCGGCTCTGGTCCAGACGATAACAATGGCCCCCATATGAATATGAATAACAACAACAATATGGGCAACAACAATTACGGAAATAATCAGCGCCGTGGCAACAGACGTGGTGGAGTCGGTGGAGGTGGCGGTAGTAGTGGTGGCCGGAATCGTGGTGGACGAAATAATAACCGAAGATTTTAAGTGTAGAATTAACATTGTATAGAATTACACAACATACACATATACAAACGATTGAATAAATTAATTTTAAGTTATGAAGCGGAAATCCGTAAACTAGATACATATAAATGAAATCATGCATGGACGCTTTCGAGGTTTTTTCAAGTATATATACATTTAAAATTATTGGGATGGAGCGAGAGAAACCCTGAGATGTTCGCTTAATAATGAAAAACTGGAGAAGCGCGCAAGTATTTCCTCATTAAGGCTATTCTACAATATATGAAAAAAATGTGCGTGTGCATGTGGTTTGTAAATGTGAAAGGTATGCACCTACATATTGATGGGCGTGTGTATATGCTAGTAATAAATGATTATAACAATAATAAAAATAATGTAATTACCGAAGTACGTTTAAGATTTTCCATTAGTGGAATATAGGAGAATATGATCTGTGGCAGACGCAGTGTTTTTTCATGAAATCAATTCTTCTCTAAACAGAGAATTTAATTTCCCACAGGGAAAATCAATGTAATGATTATAATTACACTACAATCACCGTTGTAAATTAAAATTAAATTTAAATTATGTTGACATCCACTAAAACCACCAATTTCTTTACCATTTTCATTTTAACGAATATGTTTAACAAAAAAAAAACTTATTGCGACAAATGTGAAAATACTATTATAATATGAAGAAACACACAACGGTATTTTATATTTTAGAATTTGAAACGATGAAGCGAAGAAGAAAAAGATCCTTAATTTATATCGGAGTAAGGTAGCTTTTAGCCTTGCAGTGCACAAAATTACCGAGTTCATTCAGAACAAAATTTAAAATCTTTGAAAGTTTTTACATTACATTTACCTCAGGCCTCACAATGGGAGTATAATTTTTATGCGTACATTTTTAATAAGGTCTGGCATCCGCTCCTTTCATTGGAATAGTTTTATAATAATGCACAGCTACTCAATTGCACTGCCAGTTACCCTAACGAGGATCACGTGAGAACAGAAGAAGTCCTTTTGACCAAGTCTTAATTAATTTGACTAAATTTCGGTCGAGCCACTATTTTTTGTTATAAAGAAGTCAATTACTACAGAAGTATGGTTCCATTATGTAGGAGAGCAAAGAAGTACCACAAGCTATGTTCACGAGCCACCAGGAAATTCGAGCCGACATCGGTTCTGAGTGAAACAATGTACTCGTAACATTAAGTGTGATTGTGACGTAGAGGACTTTCCAAAAAGCATAGAAAGGCTCCAAGACAAAGGGAAAAACTCGAGCAGACAAGCTTGTAGCGATTTCATTATTTTTAAAGGGGCGCTTTTACGACCATTTTTCAGTGCTGTGTCAACCCCATTTAACATTCACATTTGAGAATAACTAATATTACATAATATACTTCATACTCACTTTTCAGATTTCTCCAGTATCCTTGATTTTTATATATATCCACACAACAATCACAATTGAGGAAAAATCGAGGTAACTTTTCCTTTGCGATTAAAATAACTTAAAAATCGCGATTGATAATCGAGTGTTAAGTACCGTTGAAATTGTAAATGTTAATGATATATTATTTATATTTGACTTATCGCTCAAATTATTTCATAAAACAAAATTTTACTTTTATTTAAATACATAGTATAATGGGTCTGAAATAATTCACTCTTCTTTAAGCGTTCTACTTAACAAATTTATGTTTTATATACCTATGTATACCGTTGGACAAACACATACATATAAATTCTTATTTCTATATTTTATTCTCGCCCATATTCGTACATCTTATGTAATTCTTTACATAGACATTCAATAAGCATCAGCTTCGCGTTCATATGAATTACGTCTTGAAGTGGAAGAACGATGTGAATGCTTCCGGACACGTTCTCTACTGTAGCTACGATCTGTGTGCTCATTACTCGCTTTGCCAGCTGTAGGTGAATTGGGCACTGATGCGTCGGTCTCTTTGATACCATTTTTCTCGCTTTCTTTCCTTTCCCTCACAACATTCTCAGAACTTGTTACAATCGCATTTGTGCTATCCAAATTGGCAGTATTGGTCACCTTGCGTGCTGAATTTGGCTTAGCGTGTCGAAAATTCTCCTTTATTTCTCGCTCTTCCAGTCGCATACGATCCTGGGTGACCTTTTCTATTGACCGTTTCATTTCTTCGGCTGAGCGGACGAGTTTGTCAGTTTCTAGCACAATCTGCCGTTTTGCCGGTGATCGAACTCCACGTCGTGACCAAGAGCGTTTTGAGTGGGTGCGTGAACGCGATTTGGAACGTGAGCGCGATGAATTGGATGTTGAGTAAGATCGACGTGTAGATACTAATTTCTTATTAGTGCGTTGTTGAATCGGACTCTTGGTACGTGAACGTGTTTTACGAGATTTAGAGTCTTCGCGAGTACGCGAAGTGTGTCTAGTTTTCGATTTTGATTGTGAGCGCGAGCGTGTGTAAGAACGAGATCGCGTACGTGTACGCCGCTCGGACCGTGATCGGCTGCGTGAACGACGTTGTCTGGATCGTGAATGAGAAGGTGAACGACTACGACTACGACTACGACTGCGGGAGCGACTGCGAGAACGACTCCGACTACGTGAACGAGATCGAGATCGACTACGCTTGGAGTAGTGGCGTTTGCGTGACCGAGAGCGCGAGTAGGAACGGCTACGAGAACGATTTCTATAAAGTAAGTGGTTTAAATATTTTCTTTTAATCTCTTAATAATCTGTTTTTAATTACCTTGAACGCGAATACGATTCTTTGCGATAATCATCTTCGTCGTAGTGCTCGTCGTCATAGTTATTTTTGTAGTTGTTATAATACGATGATTCGTAACCACCTCTCCCGCGGCCACGTCCACGCCCTCGGCCGCGCATACGTGGCGCAAAACCACGGTAGTTCATGGAAACCGGAAATGGGGTGGGTTGGCGGTAGAGTGCAGACATGCCGCTAAATACAGGTGGTACGTACGGAAACATAGAAAGCGATTTCATCCATTCACTAGCAGCCTCAGGAGGATAACCAGGTGGTAAAGCGCTTGGGGCAGCGCCACCAGCTGCAGCTAGTGCTGCAACAGCTTTGAAGGGATTAAGCGGGTTGAGACCAACAGGCACAGCAGGTACACTATTTGTATCGACTGTATTTGGTGCGACGACAGCTTTATTATTTGATTTTTCTTCATCTGCATCGGAACTTTCAGAGCGACGTCGTCTGCTGCTCTTCAGAAGACCCATTAATGGCGTTTTTGTTTTAATATCTTCTACCTTCTTTTTCTGCTCAGACAGTAATTTCTCAGTGGCTGCCTTGTATTTTTCCACTAAGCGGTCACGAAGATCTTTTTTATGCGGTTCACTGCCATATTTAGAATATTTTCCTTCATGTTTTAGCTGTAGGGAACATGGAATAAAATAAACATACACATGCAGCATGAAAAAACATCTTAAAATATTTTGTATGACTTCTTTCTTGCCTTAATGCGATCGAAAAGCTGCTCCAACAATCGTATGCTCTCCAGCTTCCGTTGGGCGATCATTAATTTGCGTTCCTCGACGCGTATTTTCTGCGATATTTCAATTTGACCTTTCTCCTGAATTTTTTTCAAATGTTTTTCCTTGCGTTTCTCTTCTCTTTCGCGCTGCTTCTCTAACTCAGCTAATTTTAATTGTTCTTCTTTTTGCCTGTAATTTTTTTATTCGCTACTCTTCATTTCTTGTTCAATCGCGTATATTTTTTAATTTTACTGACATTTTACTTGGCTTCCCAAAAATCTAAGTCTTAAATTTCATATTGGAAGTTGTTTATAATAAATAAATTATAAAATATTGTGCGTAAACTGGAAGATTACAACAAATGAGAATTTGATTCTCAATTGCTGAACTTCTAAGCACATAACGTAAAAAAAAAAAAAATAAATAAATACCAACTGCATGTACTATATAAAAAAAAGTAATTTCAGACCTTTCTCGTTCTTGTCTTTCGAGCTCATCCTTTTTCTTCTTTTCTCGTTCTTCCTCCTCAGTTTGTGCTTTTTGTATTAAACGTTTGCGCACTCTTTCTCTTCGCAGGATTTGTGCATCACTGAGATGTTTTGTTTTATCAAATGTAACGTTAATGTTGATTGCTTGAGTTTTATCCACGAACTTTCGAACCAACTTCATGCCCCTAAAGTCGTCCATGGCACGCACAAATCCCACGTACTCATCAAATTGAACATAACTTTAAAATTTGAATGCATTTATTATTATTAAAAATGACTGTTTGTATTTAACTTACGCTTCAAAGAGGACACCATGCTCATAGCTGAATGTTTTCATACCATTGATGTCTGCATTCATTTTGTTTCGATAAGGATCGCAAACTGGTATGTCAACAATTCGAACACTACCGAATTTCTCAAAAATGCGTTTGAAAATGCTTTCACTCGGCTTGACATTCTCTTCATTTTCCATATGTCTTGGACAAAACCAACGTATTGGCAAATGTGTCAGATGTATCGTGTCGGGACGTTCGCCAGCCTTCATTTCATCCATATTGCTAGCATCACGGAAAAACGAGTCCCAATCATGTCTGGTGGGAAAATCGTCTTTAGCTTCGACAGCTCGAACTCTAAATGATTCGCTAAAGCCAGATAAACGGAGCGTAGCGCCGTCTAAACGTGAAGTGGCGCTGCGCAACTTTTTTCGATCTTCCAGCTCAGCTTCAAACCGGATGAACTCTAATGTGCTTTTAGATGCCTATGAAATCGAAATACATAATACATATTAAAAGTACATAAAATATAAATTAATAACCGAAGGGTTGAAGGTAATTAATAAATGAAAAAGAAAAGAAAACATTTATGGAGCAGACTGTGGTACATCCGGCTGTGTGGTGTTTTGCCATTAATTAGGGTATCAAATATACATATTGTATGTATATTAAAATTATAATTAACTTATTTACATTTTTAATCTATTATTTTTTGCACTAAATGAAACTCTTAAAGACCATGGTAAAATCGTTTATGTGAACAAACTTAATCTACGTTTTATACTTACTTTTAACACAAAGAACTTATCTGGCTTTAAAGCAGCACTTAATTTTTCCATTACATCCAAATGTGAAATTGATTTTCCCGTTTTATTGACGGGTAGAGACACTGATATTGTCATCTTGGCCAGCGGCTTGAGATATAAACTATGCGGCAAATACAGCGGCACACAGTCCGACACATTTTGTATATTCTGAATATCGGTCATTTTAGAATTATTTTGTTCGTTTTGTTTTATTTCAATTAAAGATGTTTTAATTAGGCAAAGTTAAACGATTATATTTAATTATGTGTATAAATTTCGAGGCGACATTTGCTCAAAAAAGAAGAAAGAAATATTAGTAATTGAAAACATCTAAACACTGCTATAAATGCATCTGCTAAAAAGAAATCCTACTATAAAGAATACAATTTTTTTTTGTAAATCTGCTTAAATTAATTTGAAACTATTGGACAACTACAAACAGATTGACAAGAATCTAAGAAACTGATTAATTTATAAAGGCAAAGTTTAAAGTGCTAAATATAACTATTTTATGGAACACAACGACTTTATATTTGCTGGTGAGCTTTGTTTTAATTAAAAATTTTATCTGCGCAAAAAATACGCGAAATCACGATTTTCCACTAAAATATTGCGTATAGAAAATGTTGCAGTGAAAATAACAATGTTGCTATATTATTTTGTAACGGAACGGCTGAAATATGAAATGAGTTTTATTGGGAAATAAGGTGGTTCGAATGAATGAATTCTAAAACTACACAATTTTATTGAAAAAAAAAAGAATACAGAATGATTAGTAAAGATTTTGGTTCCATAAATTCAGCATACTTCGATCAAAGAACTTAAACTATGTTTATATATAACATAATTCAAATATAATAATATAAATGCTCAAATTGTTTAAAATAAAATTTTTAACGGTATTTTAACATATAAGTTTTGCGTATAAAAACGATACATTGAAAATAATAAACTGATTTTTAATCAAACATTATTTTAAAATAGAAATAAAAATGTATAATTCTATTCTATAATTACTACTCCTAAATTCATTTTCGGTTCTTTTGAATAAAAGAAATTTTAAAAATTTCAAATCAAAATTTAAATTTATATCAAAACGAAGAAAAAATTATTTATAAAAAATATTGCTATTATTCATCATTGTTCAAGCTCCATAATATAAAATCCCTCGGATCAATGAATCATTGAATAAACATTGAAGACACCTTCGGTTGGCTACGGAAATAAAGATTTTAATCTATTTATTCATAAATTTGACAAAAAAAAATCTTGATAAATATTTATTTATTCATTTTTTAAAAATCATGTAAAGTTTATGAATTAAATTGGCAACAAGCGGCTTAGAATCCTTGTGGGATTTTGTATGTACGAATTTATAAGCTTTGTTTGGGATGCCTTTCATGCCAGGTATGCGTATGCATATATATGTATCTATATCATATAACCTATGTATGTGTGTAGCGGGTGTTGCGGTGATCGCCTTTCGCGATTGTCACGTTCGGTGTAATCAATCACCCTGAATGAGTTTTTATTGTTATTATCCTGCTTTTTATGTGGATGAAAATAAATAAGAAGGTTACCGCTTATGTAACGAATCTGAATCACTATGAGGCTTACAAGAAATGAGTAAAAATCACACACATATACATATGTATGCACTTATAATTAAATATTTGTGTATGCTTATTTGTTTTTTTTTTCACGCAGCGGAATTTTTTGAATATATTGAAAATATTGAAAATTGAGAAAGGAAAATTTTTAGGCTTCAACAAACTCGTAAAATTTTCAATTCAATTATATTTTAAGAAAATTGGTCTTCTTAATAAAATAAATATTTGAAAGATGAATCTTCACTAGCATTTATTTTAGGTGCTAATTTGAATGAAAACCATATTATATTTGTTAATAAAATACTTAAGTCGTTTGTTGTGCCCGTTTTCTAATTGCATCTGCCAAAAAACCTTATTACTTGCTCCAAGTTACTCGACCAAAGAAGTCAGAGCAGAAAATCATACCCTGATGTGTGTGCTCTGTTTCTGCTTAGAGTAGACTCGTGAAACAAAGAGTAGAGCGAATGAGAGCAAAAAAAGTTTTTTATGAAATAAAATTTTTTGAAACAGAGTAACTTGGCGTAAGGTAGAGCAGCTCAAGAAACAAACCTATTGTATTGAAATTCTTACCGTTGAGATTTAAAACATTTCTTTCCGTTTCCGGCAAAACTAGCTTGAAAGGAAATTTGCACACAGGGTGCTTTGTATTTGAGTGATATCCAAAAACTTTCACTAAGCTTGCACAAACTTTAAATAAAAACGCAAGATAGCTGAGGATGGGTAAGACGAAACTCCACCATCAACGCAAACAGAAATTCTTCATGTGATTCTCTTCGGGTTTCAGCGTAATTTGCAGCCAATACAAATATTCAGTGAATGTCGAATTGCATATGGACAGATTGCATCGTATTTAAATATTATTTCTAAGTGGTTTCGAAGATACCAGACCGAACATTTTTCCGTAGAGGACGAGCCTCGATAAGGTCGACCAAAATCATCCACTGATTACGTCACTCTAGCTTTGGTGAAGTCCAAAATTGGCGAAGATCCTCGGTTGACACAAGAGATGATTGCTAATGAATTGGACTGTATCGTGAATATTAAGTAATCACATGGGATACACGAAGAAATCTGCTCGACTTTTAAATGAGGCCCATAAAGAGGCTCGAAATCATTTTGCTCAATTTTGCCGCAACGAATTCCCAATTTGTCATTCTAGCAACTTTAGTAAGTTCGCTTGTGGTGGCGTATCTTGGTTATATAAGAACGATCCAGAAACCAAACAGTAGTCCATGGTATGGAGCCCAACAGGAGAAAATCTACCCGAAAATTCTAAGTAACAAAAAACAGCAGCAAAAGTAATGATATCAGTTTACTTCATCCGGTCTAATGGTTGCTATTCCACTGGAAAAGGGGCAGACGGTAACTGCGAAATGAAAGAAACCGAAGATTGCTTACCAAAAGTTTTAAAAAATTTGTTGGAAAACAGGAAGAAAGAGTATTTGCGGCGCCATCCCATTGAGATCTCTGGGATCGAAGAAATACGTCCAGCACCATGTTTCCCGGATATAGAAACCTGTGATTTCTGGTTGTTTCCAGAAATTAAAAAAAATTTAAAGAGGAAAGGTCTTTAATAGCAACGAGGAGTTAATTATTGCGGTTACTGCTGAGCCTGATAAGCTTAAAAAGCAAGATTTTGAAGACTCTTTTCAGAAGTAGATCTATAAGCTAGAGCAATGCAATGAAATCGATGGAGATTATGTGCAGAAGATAAAAAAGGACAAAGATTACAGATAAATACAAACGAAGTTTTTTTTTGGGTCAACTTACCGAACCTTTGTTAATACCCTCGTATATGTTCTAAAACATTGCTACTCTCAGTGTTGAAAACTGTATTTTAGACCTACCGGCACTCATACCACTCTTCTTGTAGTCTAACAAGCCTCTTCCTCTCTCCACTGTCTGAAGGAACTTGGTTATATTTATAAAAAAAAAAAGTATTTTATTTTAAATTAATAAACATTATACTTATATATGAATAATTACATTTACCTAACATTTATTAAGTACTTAATTTAATAGTAAAAATTAGAACAAATATTTGTTTCATCTAAAGAAACCTACATTTGTATGTCAGTCTTGGCTTTATGGCTAGAGTGTGGCATTTGAACCAAGCTCTCTGTTGGAGGAGCTTCTTTGTTTATGGACACTCCTTAGGCTGCAATTGCAATTGTCATACCATAATTTCAATGAAATTTTTTTTTTTGAATGAATATTTTATTTTTCTAACGTCTTTGGAGTTTTTTTTAACCACCCGTCAATTCGTCAATCGTTAATTCGTTATTTTATTAATATCGGGAATTAAATACGTACGAAGTCTAAGGGGCTTTACTTACGTAGCCACCAGTGTATATATTTAAAAAAATATTATTTTCATGCAAAATTCATTGCATTTTGAATTTAGATTTTTTAGCTTTCAATGTTATATATGCATACATATCTAGGGTAGATCTTCAGACGAAACCCAAAATTAACAAACCAAATTACAATTAATATGGCTTGAAATAAACCCCTCTCTCTCTCTGTTAGTTACAGCCACACAGATGCACTAACACCAAACTTGCTTGCGCACTGCACCGCACCGTTGAATTGCTCACAACAGTTATGCTGGCATCGAAAGCCTAGATGATTACACATCAAAAAAAAAGATAACGTAAAGTATTAACAACAAAAAAAATGCTCACGAGCTTATCAAACTATTAACTATTAATTTATATTATATTTCCCTATACGCTCACCACTTACAGCGTGGAGTGCAAATCGTGGGCTCGCTCAGCAGTGCTCAATATTTGCTGTTGGCTCTCTGTGCCTCTATGCGTTCGTTAGTGGTACCCGCGACTAAACTGCTAGCGGCATACTAACAGCCAAGTTGCTATACTGGACAACTGAGCTACACGAACTGGCTAGTACGACTATGTAAATTCAAAGATATGCATATGTGTGTGTGTGTGAGTATGCATGTTTGTATGCTCATGTGTAAGCACAAATAAATGCGTTCGCGCTGTGGGGCCGATGCCTCCACTGGATGAGTCGTTGTCGGCTTAGCATTGTTGCTGCTGCTGGCCAAAGCCAAAGCCAAAGCCTTGCTGCTGATGACTCTTGTTGCTGGTGCTGCTACAGCTACTGCTGTTGCTGTTGCTGTTTTTGCTCTTCACCGTTTGCGTGTGAAATTCGCATATAAAACCGTTGCTTGATTGTCGCAGCAACTTCAGTTGATCGCTGCCAGTGTTGTCGAACGGTTGTCGTTTACCGCTAATACTTTAGGTATTTTTCACCAAATCATTTTCTTTGTCAACTATTTAATTTAGCCTACACCGTTTCGTTTCGGTTGGCATGTGTGTGTGTGCGTGTGCTTATGCGCGCGCTGTTTAGAAAATGTTGTAAAAAAAATGAGAAGAACTCTGAATATTTGTTAAGCAATTTTGGATGCGCGAGATATCAGTGTTGATAGAGTGAGAAGGGGAAATGATAAAGGATTGATAAAAAATAGCGACGGAGCGCATTTGCAAGATGAGCAAAAAAACAGTGAAAATGAGAACATAAAAACAGCAAAAACAGAAACGAAAACATTCAAAAAAAAAAAAAAAACATTAAAAAAAATAAAAACCATTGCGTGTCATTTTTCGTGAATAAATTTAATTAGTCTGTGCTAGTTCGTATAAATAATTTAATTTTTTTGCAGTTTTTACAGCCGAAAAAAAACAACGAAATAAATTTATAATATTTTTGGCGCATTTGAAGCCAGCCAGCAGCAGCAGCAACAGCAACAACGTTCGACCGCAATTTTTAAGCGTGCAAACATGCAGACCGTAATTAAGTAAGTACTAAGTCTTGGTATTGATACATATCTACATATGTGCATTAATAATTAAATGTATTTATTTTTTTTTATTGTATAAAGCATAATCAAAATACATATCGTTCGCAATATCCTCTTTAAAAAGTCTTCGCGTCTACGCCAAGTAAGCGCGCTAAAAATCACTCAGCGCCAAATGACTTAAATTAAGTAATTTGGTTGGGTTTTTCAGTTGTTTGCTGCTGCACTTACAGTTTTGCACAATTATTTTCGTTTTTTAATTACAGTTGCAAACACAAAAAAGCAACAACAACAACAAAATAAGTTCAAGGTTTAAAAGTGAAAACCAAAATATCTCTAGCGAAATAAAATTGCAATTAAACGGAAAAAAATGAAAGTGAAATAAAAAAAAAAAATAAATAAATAAATGAAAACAGCGCCAAAGAAGCGAAATTCAAAAAAAAAAACATCAGTTCGAAAATCAAGAACTCAGACGAGCAATATTCTGCATGCCATATTTGCTAATCTAAGCAAAGTACTCATCATCATGCTCTTTTTTCTTTAATGTAAGCTTAGATGGAAAATTTTAACTTTAAATAAATGCAAGTGAAATTTTTTGAACTACATAAATTAATGAAAGAGAATAAAATCTAATGTCGGAGTACTGAAATTTATTTGAATTTTGCTTTGACAAAGTTGTGGAAAAAATAATAATAAATTAAGTGCCGCCGTGGCCTTCAAAATTTTGGTTTATGCTATCTTTTGGTGAATATTATTAAAATAAAAAATAAAAAAATACATATATCCAAATATGTTTACTTTGCACTTTTTTGGTTATATTTTTATGTATTTAAGAAGAAAAAAATTTTAGAGTGAGGTAAAAAAAAATAAAATTCAAATTAAATTAGTTTAGTTAAATATTTCAATGAATGTTCCTAATGATTTAGCAAACTCCAAATATATATACATATATGTATGTATGTATGTATATATGTATGTATATTTGCAAAACTTCAAATAGACTTTATTTCTATTTAAGCCTATAAATATGTATGTACATACAAGCATACATATGTGCAAAAATACGCTGTTTGCTTAAGTTGACTAATTTGTCACTCACTAATTTTTACTCATCGCTTTATAACTGGTTTTTCTCTCTAGTTAATTAGTTTGAGAAAATGGAAATAAACTTGAGCAAACAAAAACATATTTAATTTTTTTTCTAAGTAGATGGCTTGTAAGCCATTTGATAAAATAACTAACTCGGCTTCCTTATAATTTCATAGAATAGAAAAAAATCTTACGGTTTTAGTCTTTACTTCTGTTTCATACTTTCCATTTTCGCCTAGTTTTCTGGTTTTCTGATTAACAGTGCGGAATCATGGCCTAAACGACAATCGTCGAATATCAATCGCTTCATTTGTATTGCTGACATGAAGTGAAAAACTTCTCATAAAAATCCATTAGCCGTTCAAAGGCTAAGGAGTTCAGTTATATATATTATATATAATATGCTATCCTGTAAGCAATACAGTCTCAAAGAGAAGTGATTTTCCTGACTATGAGTTCATTTGTAAAAATTATTTTTCAAGATATTAAAATTGAAAATAGAAAGTATTGAATTCTTTTTATAAAAAAGTTGTTAATGAATAAATTTTAAATCTTTTTTAACCACAGTCGCCTGGGACATTTTTTCTGTGTCAATAAGTGTGTTGCTAGTGGCTCTAAAAAAGTCAAAGAAAATAACATTATTGAAAATAAATTATATTATTTTCTCAAATATTTTGTATTTAAAAAAAAAAAAAAATAGAAAAATGTCTATATCAGACTTTTCTTCATGGAGGTATCAAATTCCTTAAATTATCTATCGAATAGTAAATAAATGTAAACTATTCTATTCAATCTATCAAACACCAATTAGCAGAACATTTTCTAGTATATTTTTTAAGTTTGGTTAAGACACAGTTGCATGGGACATTTTTGCGGTGGGATATACATATTTGCCATTTCTATTGATTTTTTGTGTAAAAAAGCTTAATATTCAACTTATAAATAGTATATACATACTTATAATGATTATTATGACTTCGAAAATGTCCGTAATATTTTTTTCTTGAATTTTTGTGTTTATCTGACGTAGAGTTTCAAAATTAATATAGCCAAAGATACCTATAAGAATGTATATTAAATGTGGGAAAGGGTGTCAAAATGTTCCTTTGAAAATATAAACCCATAATATTAAGGTTGCCAACACTGAGAACATTACAAACATTTTTTTATATCGGCAAGTGATGAGCAGTTCAATATTAAAAAAAAAATTGTTTAATGTCTTAATATTAACAAAAAAAAAAATAAAAAATAAAATATGTACGCATATTTAATTTTACGTTTACACAAAATAATTTATTCATTACTGGGAGATTTAATATGCATAAATTATAAGAAGTTCAATGATATTAAAAATAACTAATTAATTTTCTTTGACAATAACCCGAATACATGACTTATTGTTATAAAAATTAAAGTACTTGAGAACCTTGAGAATTACAGAAAAATAATTAACTCTCTATACTAAACCAGTTCAATGGGAAAGTGTAAGTCGTTGACACACAAAACGGAATTTATGCAAATCACCGTAAGAGCGACAAGAATTAGAAGGAAAATGGAACTCGAATTGTAACACCTCAAAACAGATCCGAATGTGGATTGAAAAGGGCAGCCGAAAGTGTATCCCTTGAGATCGTTGACGTTTCAATTGAAGAAAATAATTAATTTCATTCCATAAATTTTTTAAATAATTTCTATTGATAGAAAGCGTCGGATATTTTTGGAATAATATCAATAAAAAAAAGGAAGCAAATTTACCATAATTCCATTCAGCGTGGTGTTCATTCTGGAAAATTTATTTCACAATAAGCTTTACAATTCCTTTGACCACAAATGAAAGCAACCAAGAAAACCATTCCTCAAATGGCGTATCATAAAAACTCTATTTTCATAACTTTTTAACTTTTTAACTTTTTTTTATATAATTCTCTCGTAATCAAATCGCCTTATGTATCGCCCTTATGGAACGCGAGATATAGATCACTAAAGCCCTCTATTGCAAAAATAATAGATGACAAAAGCACTCCATATACAATTGGAGATTTATAGCCGCTGACGCGATTTTCGGCCGAGCTCCTCCTCCAATTTGTGGTTTTGCGTCTTGATGTTTTTCCAACAAATGGAGGGTTCTACAGTTTGTACCAAGTCGCCGGCTGATATTTTTTTTTATGAAAAGCTGTTGATTATATATACTCAGAGGGGTTGATATTCCCTGCCGAGGGCCACCGCAATAAGAAATTTTAGCTTAATTTTTTATTTAAATTAATTTTCTATAACAATTGGATGTTGGTCGTACCAGGATTTGAACACGGGCCTTCCGAATGCCAGTACGTGATGCTAACTATTCGGCTACCGCGGCCGCTAGCACTCCATATGCCTTCGGATAATTTAAGGAGTTTTTTTTTTAAGACTTTGTTAAAAAGCGTCAAAAAGAGTCATCCACAAGTAGTCTTTATGTGCTTTCTGGTATGACCGCATCACTCTTTTAAGAAGTTCATAGGCCACGCCTTTTTCATATATTTCAACAATGCAGTTTTGTTCCGAAGCATGCTTCCACTTTTGACACTTTTCGGCGGCTCACCAGGAGGGTTTGGCTCCGCATTGGGAATCCTTGCGGTCAGCGTTGGTTGGCTGGGAAATAAAAGGCCTTGCTGTATGTGTATGAAGCATGCATGCATTTAAATATTGATATCGCTTAAAATAATATTAATATCTCGCAGTTGAGATATTTGAGCAAATCTAACGAAACTTTTTGCTTAATAGGAAATTCCTATAAAAAAATTCTTTCTTCTAATAAATTCTTATCGAACAAAAAAAAAAATTTTTTTTAAACATACAAATAGTGCTTTCTTTTCTTTTTCGCCTTTTCTATCACTTAATCAAAGTATCTTTGTTAATTTTTTTTATTGTCATTGGAGAAGTTTTGTTTTAAACCTGATCTTGCGCCATACTCGTTGCCTGTCTATCACGCGCTTTCATAAATGGTGTATACAACGTAAATGAGATTTGCCATGAAGTAAACCAGTTTTGAATTTTAATAGCAGATAGCATCCTCCAACATAGGTAAACTGTTAAACCAACCATTCAGTTGTAAAGTTTTCAGCATCAACGATCGTGTGTCCCTGCAGTGCCGTCCATAGACGCGATCAGCAAGACGTTTGGGCGACAGAACGACAAAACTAATGATCGTAGCAGGTTTTAGAACAGCTGTTTTTATTTATTTATTTTTTTATTTATTTATTTTTTTTTTATTTATAGCAAGAAAGTTGGTTGCGGAGTTCAATGTACAAGTTTTATTTTCATTTTTTATTTTCTAACTAGTTTCTTGTTGTTCTTATTTGTTTTTCATCTATATTTTTTCAATGCATTTGTGGCTTCTTGGCTGCCAACATGTTAAGAAATACGAATAAGCACTCATTTCGAAGTACATTTGTATGTACACGTATGTATGTCAGCACTCCATACTAAAGCGGCTTACTTGTCGACAATATTTACATAATCATTTTTCGGCCTGAGACAGCATTTTTTCGTATACAAACATTTAAAGTATTAAAAGAGTAAAATAAATTTTAGATTTTGTTTTTTTTTTTTTTAAAAAGCCACATCGCACAATGCACGCTTTTGTCGGCTGCTGAATTTTGATTACACATAAATTTTGTCTTGCTTATTTGGCGTTTTTTCTGCTTGAATTAAGTTTGAATTTATATTTATATTTGGTAATCTAGGTTTTTATGAATTTTTTTTGTCATTTATTTCCTTGTGTTCACTGTCATTGCCGTTTCAACGCTCTCACCCAAAACCACTTTCTAACATGTTATTGCTGCTGCTGCTGCTGCTGCTGCTCATGACCGATCGCTAAATCACTAAATTTATGGTGCTGGCATCGCTATAATATTTGTTGCTATTTAATCACA